CCAGTGTGCATGAGGGCTTAAAATGGAATTAAGCACAATATAAATGTTGAACACAATGGACACGATTTACTAACAAAACAGACAAACAATTGTGTGCAGAAAAATCTAAAAAAATAGGAACTTCTGCTGCACATGACTGAATGTTTGAAGAAAGCACAGGATCACTTTTCCTCCAGATTGTGAACATATTTCACACACAAAATTGACCAGACATGGTCACCTATAATGTATAGTCTGTTCCTTGTCTGTTCCTGTTAAGAATAGGTGTATAAAGTAGAACCTAAGGCATGCGAAGGTAGAGCACAGCTAGACAAGAAGAGAGATGAACTGTGCACAGTGATTCAATGCAGCATCATGTGTGTTCCCAGAAGAAGCAGCTTCAAGGCCACCCCCCATCAATAATTTAGTGAGTCATGCTTCTTGTTCTGCATCTTTCCCCAGTTCCTCTGCTGCCTTTTTTCTGTGTAGAAATGCATCGCTTGTCTATTCTGCAACCATTGTTTTTGTATTGTAGTCTGATTACTTTCATGTACTCCATTAGAAATGATGGTGATGTATTTAAAAACGAATAAATAAGCGGAACATGCTGCTGTGATCAAGCAGAAACAATCAAAATCAGACAGAAAGCTTTGTAAGCTGACAACGCCCTCTGTCTGACTATGATTTGTTCAATGTACATAACTTTCAAGAGAAGAGTGTATTATTCCTGGCTACATATATGGGGGCCCAGTTTGAAGTTGACATATATAGAATTGTTTGGTGCAGAGATCTAATAAATGAGTCTGCAAGGTTTTGCAGTCAAATCAGCCTGAGACTGTACTGAATGGTACATATTCCAACTTAGAATAGAAGGTAGGAGATCTAAAAAGTGTACCCAGTATATCTTGTGTACTATAGATAAGCAGTGCTAAGAAAATGATCTCCTAGATTGTAAGCTCAAAAGAGTAGGGCCCTCTAACCCCTTGTGTGCTGTTTGTTGTTGCTGTACTGTTTCATGTATTGTCCCCCCCCCCCCCATTGTACAGCGCTGAGCAAACCCTTGGGCGCTATATAACCTCGATGTAATAATAATAATAAAAAAGCATTGCAAAGTATAAATGTCATCTTTAGGTGGATTGAAGGTGATATTAGCTATATAGAGGTAGACCTCACGTTATGAAAATCAGGAAAGGAATGATTAAGTTTTCTGACAATCGTTGGAAATGTATTAGGGCTCTTTCACACGGGACAGACCCGTTTAGCGGATCCGCTTGCTCAGCGGGGGATCTCTCCGCTGATCCCCTCTGAGCAAGCAGATGACAGCTCTGTGTCCCCTCCGCTGCTGCAGAGCAGACACAGAGCTGCTTGCTCTCCTCAATGGCCAGTCAGATGAAAACTGACCACCTGTCCGTTTCCATCCAATCCCATCCAACGGATGGAAGGGGAATTGGATCCCCACCCGTCCGTTTTTGGAAGATCGGATCAGATGTCGGCAGGTGTAAACGGATGCATGTCCATTTACACCCACCGCTCCACAGAGGAGAATGGAGGTTCCGATCGGGTCTGCCTGAAGATGCGAGCAGGCGGACTCGATCGGAACGTTCATGTGACAGAGCCCTTAGGCCCCTTTCACATGGCCGTTCCCATCAGCCCTGCCTGTCAGTTTTTCAGGAGGCCATAATCGTAAGGTCTTTACATTCCTATGTAAACTGACTTGTCTCCATTTACACCTGCCTACCTCTGGGTCAGATCATGTCTGCTAACAAAAATGGAAGAAGAGCCGATTGGCGGTAGCCCACAGAGCAAAGCGGGCTTTGCCAATGTCCAGTCTGCAACTGAGTAGACACAGATATGTCATCTGCCCATTCTGCTTTGATCCCCTGCTGATCGGAAGGGATAGTGGCTTTAATATGAAATCTTAGTAGGCAAAGTTAATGTTGAACTTTAAACATGAGGTCATTATAGCCTAGCCATACATAGTTCGTGTATCACATAGTAAGGATGAAATGCAGACAAATCTCTGCGTGCATGGGGCATGAACTATTTCATCTAAATACTGAGCTTCACTTGGGGTCAGCTGGATTGGACAGTGTTATGAACCTGCGTTGGTTACTGTTGCCTCAAAGCCAGAAAAGGGGGATTGCCCCCATGTGCCCAACAGTGAATCTAGGTGTTGGCTAAAGAAGGAATTGGCCAAGAGTATAACTATTCTATCCTGAACAATATCTTTCCGTGTATTGTTCAGTGGCTTAGTGGTTAGCCTTTTTACATTGCAGCACTGAGGTTTTGAATGATGGTCAAGACCAATGGTGTGGGCTTCCTTCCACACTCCAAGGACATGCTGGTAGGTTAATTGGCTCCTGTCTAAACTGACCCTAGTACATGTATGTATGAATGTGAGCTAGGGCCTTTGATTGTAACCTCCTTGAGGGCAAAAGCACTTTCAAAATTGGCAGTGTTATGTAAATACCTGTAATAGATAAAATCACACATAAAATTTCAGTTACATGAACAGGGCTGGGTTTCAAGCTGTGAGCCACAGCTGGACCAAATAACAGTGTGCCCTGGCTAGTTTGTAACTACAGCAAAACTAAGCAGTCAAGTTTTAAACAGGATTTTTTTTATGCTACATGCCCAAAAAATGTAAAAGTATTTTTCTAAAAAGTAAGCACCGGTGAATTGTTGTTCACAAATATATTTATGACTTTTTTTTTCATTTGAGGCTCTCCCAGGATCTATGTATTTGTTTAAAGGCTATCTACACCCAAAAAACAAAAACAGAATATAATGCAGTTAACCAGTCCTTAAATGTGATTACTGCATCAGTATCTTTTTGAAGCTTTTTTTCACCTGATGATCCTGCCAGTATTACTCCTGTTTTACAGAGACAACACTTAGTCACCATACTGTGTGTGTTGTCATTCTACGCTGCTCCCCCTATTTGGACTACAAATAACAATGGGGGTGGGGGAGAGAGTTTGTTCACAGAAGATAGCTGAAAAAGCTATTAAAATGGTTCTAAAGGCTCAAGGTTTACCTTCATGCACTCTACTTTCTGTTTGCAGCAGCCCCCCCCCCCTAGTACTTACCAGAACCCCCTCTCAATCCAATGATGTCCATAAGAGCCTTAGCTCTCTGGGCACTCTCACTCCTGATTGGTTGAGGCAGCAGCGGTAGCCATTGGCCAAGGGAAAAGAGAGGGGGCGGACCGAGCCACGGCTCTATGTGTGAATGGACACACCATGGCTCAGGAGTGTGCCTGCTTGGGTGCCCCCAGAGCAAGCTGCTTGCTCTGGGGGCACTAAGCAGGAGGGAGGGGCCAGGAGCACCAGTTAGGGACCCAAGAAGAGGAGGATTAGGGCTGCTCTGTGCAAAACCACTGCACAGTGCAGGTAAGTATAACATTTGTTATTAAAAAAAACCAAGACAATCACCTTAACATCGTTCAAGATTTCAGTTCAGTACACAGGAAGTTATAAAGACTCAAGATTTATGACAGGTTTTAGAGGTATCTTTTGTGCACTTAGCCTGAAAAAAAACTAATGCAACCGCCACATCTAAGGAATGTTTAGTACTTTAATTTGCAATTATACAGTGAACAGCAGTAATTATATAAAACAAACTATGCACAGACTCCATAAGTGACAATGACAAAATATATTATTCTTATTACACAGCTTCAGCATACTTAAGCAATGGACACAAAGGGGCTTTTACCATCAAAATAGTCTCACACTATAAATAAACATTATGGATTCTCATAATGCAGTCTAACAAACTGTATTCTTTTTATGTGCACTTGATCCACCGGCCTCTCTGCCCTAAGGGGGACTGACATTCTCTATAATATAAAAATAACATAAGCATACGGCTAACGGCTGCTCATTCTGCTACATACAATATGCTTAGAAATGACAATCCCTGGCATGCATAATCAAGCACAAATAATACACTGTATGAAATCTGCAGTCTGAAGCTGATGAGAGAGAAAAACAATAAAACAGCTAATGCTAAAGTGCAGGGATTTATTATCTGAAAGCTTTGTTTGGAACTGCCATGTAGTCCCCATGTAAAATGCATGCACATATAGAAAACAGCAAACATCTACAGTATATGTGAATCCTTTTTATATATATATATATATATATATATATATATATCTGTGTGTGTGTGTGTGTGTACAGGTATAATAACTATATAAAAGCATTATAAATACTTTTTATAATACTTTTATATACTATTATAAGTGATCAGATCATCTCTCTTCTCAGCTGCATAAGAAGCACAGAGAGGAGGGAGTGGAGAAACAGCAGTGCACTGATGTTACCAGTGAATGTCTGTGCATGAAGGGGGATGTCAGCACAAGTCTGATCATTTGAGGATAGGCAGGCTGTTTCCCCAGCAAAGCCAGAAAACTGACTACACTTAGACAGGTATGCTCTCGTGCCTAGCATAGTCAGTTTGAAATAGGAAAGCAGGGGGCTGGCAGCAACATCAGGCATTTCACGCAAAGGAGGCAATACAAATACAAGTACATGGTACAACAGACACATATCAGGAATATGAAATGTTTGGTAACATGTTCTTTAAGAAAAAAAACATCAGTAAGTTTAAGATATGGCGAAATTATGCTAATTTAATTTAAAGTAACAGAAACTATTATACTAAATGTATATTTCAACCTAGAGCTATGTTTTTACCCATTCAAAATAAAGGGAAGCTGTCATTATCACTTGCATAATTTAATAATAATGAAAATAAAAGACACCCGCTTATAAAATATTATGCAGCGATATTATGAGCAGGTGTATCATTTATTCTAAGTACTCCTGTAAATAACGAGCAGTAGAAGAGGTCTCCATAACGTAAGTGTACTACAGGTATGTGCAAATTCTAGAAGTGAGATCTTAAACAATCATTCTTGCTGGCGAAAAAGCTGCAGTGATTGGCTTCTGAACAATTTATGAATTTGGCCAGGTATTATAGTAGAAGTAGTAGAAGCAGAATGTATGTGCCTTACAATTAATGGCTGATCTGGTAGTGATATTGTGTTAGTCTTCATATGAACTATCTCACCCAGGGGCGGACTGACCATTTGGAAACTCAGGCACTGCCCGAGGGCCTGGGGTCAGTAGGGGGCCCTATGAGATGCTCCTGGTACCTTTTTCATAGGCTTTTTTGAGTTTGGGCAAGTACACAGGGGCCCCATGATCCCCTATTGCCTGGGGGCCCCATGAGTTGTCAGTCCGCCCCTGATCTCACCCACTCAAATGCTGAATGCACATTAAATAAAATACACACACACACAGAAACTACAAGTAACCATATATAATGTCCTTTGTCTGGAAACTCCACGTTATGTAAAGTATCATCAATGAGTCATACATATATTGGTACAACTAAGGGTCACTTAACGTTCACTGAGGACAAAGAGATATTGCAGTATGTAGCTAAGCCATCCAGAAGGACACCAAAAGACCTATTAATTAGAATGAAATAAAATTCAGACACTACATCACAGTGAGACATTGTCTGCATGAGATGAGAGCTGCATGGCTACTCTGTTGCCATTGGAAGCAATATGAATACCAAACACGTAGAAAGGCAAGGTCACTGTCTCATGTGAACAGACACTTACCTATACATACATATCACTCCATTATCAAATAGTATCCAGAAAAAAGGTGGGGAGGCAAATCATATTTTGGTTACTACTGTATTTGTGTTAGTTAACTTTATTGGTTATTTGTGCACTTTTGTATTTCATTAAGACAGTAGGAACCCACTTGCCTTTAAGGCTATGGCATCAGATCTACACTGGGACAGACCAGTCTTTAAAAGATTTGTATTTCACAAATTTTAGATATAGTTACTGGGCATAAATGTTGGGAACAGAAACACAATGGCACCCACGTTTGCAGAAGCAGCATCATTCAGCCACAGTAGTTCAAACCACACACACTTTTTTACAGTTATTGGAAAATTAGGCCGCAAGCAAGCTAATCTGGAAAAAAATCAACCCATGTATGAGTAGCTTTATACTGAGCAGCAGATGCCATTACTCTTCAGACCTCTGGTGATTAGAAGGTTCAATGCAGCTTTAGAACAGCTCTTAGGCAACTATAGGATTGATTAAATGGGTGATTCTATTCTGCGTCTCCATGCTGAAAGTGTTGTTGCCTCAAAAACATAGGTTTTGTGCAAAATGTTCTTTGTAGATTAACAAATATAATGTATATATGTCTTCTCTGTGAACTTATGTTAGACAAACAAAAAATGTTTGCTTACAACACATTATATTAATATCATATGGTCATTGAACCTTGTAGACCATTCAGAAGAACCGCAATAGTACTATTAATTAGGACAAAATAAAATGCAGACATTATGGATAAAATAAATGTAGACAAAAATCAAGTTTGTATAGTGCCGTATGAATTGTTCTGTATATTACCCTTTATTTATAAATAGAAGAAAGCACCAATTGGCACCAAATCTACATACTGGGGTTTCAGCAGCATGTATTTTGTTTCTTTTATGCCACTTTTTTCTAACATTGCTTATTAACACCTTCCAATTGCCAGATTTTTTTTACTCCTAACACATGGCTCCATTATGCTTTTCCATGTCAGCTTACAAGCTTGTTAGACGTCAATGTGAATAGTAGTCATAATGAAAGGAGAACAACTGGCAATTGATAAAAGCCATTGCTGAATAAGTAGCAAATTGCTTAATAATAGAAAAGCCACTATATTTCCAAAGGCATGATTATAACGCAAGGATTCTTATGTATATTCTGTTCTGAATTCATAAAGACTGTTTGATCGAAGCAGAAATCACACTTATCTAAGCTCAGTCACAGAAAACACACTATATCAAGTCATTACCTTAAACAATGGATTGAGACAGGCCTAGGAACTTCCACAGCAGTAATGGGATAGGAACATGGAATCCCCAGTTTCCTAACAGCAGGCAGCACTTACAGTACAGAATTATTAAACTGAAGTGCCTTCAAGTGTAGGACCAGACCACACTACATGTCAACATGTCAGTACCAGTCCTTCTGGCACAGTGGTGCCTTTAGGAAGCTGATGAAAGCAGTGTATCTACCCTCCTGCATTCTCTGTGATGTCAAATAATTAAAGTGACTTTAAAGGTTTGTGATTTTTTCTTTTAAAATAATAAACATGTCATACTTACTTGCTCTGTGAAGCAGTTTTGCACAGCAAAGCCTTGATCCTCCTCTTCTTGGGTCCTCTGCTGGTGCTCCTGGCTCCTCCTCTTCAGCCAGTGCCCCCACAGCAATGGGGACATTGGTGCATGCTCACTCTCGAGCCACTACTCTATGCATCCATAAGACACATAGAGCCCTGCCCCCATCTCTCCTCATTGACTCACTGGTGTGAATGACAGTGGTAGGAGCCAATGGCTCCTGCTGCTGTCTCAGCCAATGAGAAATGAGGGACCCGGGAGAAGGTCTGCTCTCGTGCACAACGCTGGACCTTGAGGGGGCTCAGGTAAGTGTTAGGAGGGCTAGAGGAGCCGCTGCACACAGGAGGTTTTTTACCTTCATGCATAGAATGCATGAAGGTAGAAAACCTTGAGCCTTTACAACCACTTTAATACAAAGTCAAACTGTGACTTTTAATTTTACAGGTATAAAAAGGGATGTTAATGTGGCGGTATTACATGCAGTAGTAAGTGGCAAGTGTGTCCTATTACTGATAGGCTGCATACATGTCACAGGCCAGTCCAGAGACCGTTAATAAAGATGGCAGACAACTGCGTTAGTGCGTGTATGGAACAGCGCGTGGTGATGAAGTTTCTTGTGAATGAAGGCGTAAAACCCATGGATATCTACAGAATACCTAAACCACAGTATGGTGATGAGACACTCAGCCACAGTAAGATATTTGGATTGTGTAAACATTTCAAAGATGGCCATACGTCTGTCAGTGACACTCCCAGCCATGGTGGTTCCCAGCCCACAGCAGTCATTATTGTGAACATTCAGCGCATGAAATGCCAGATCCTGGATAATCGGTGCATAACCTGCTGTGAAATTGAACAATAGATGAATTTCGGCACTGATGATGAAGTGAAGCAGGCTGTCTTAGGATGGTTCAGGCGTACTGACAAATCTTTCTATGCCGAACCTTTCCAGGCATTAGTTAAATGCTGGGATAAGTGTATATATGTAGCAGGGGAGTATGTTGCAAAATAAATGCAGTTTCCACCCCTTGAAATGTGTTCTTTTATTATATAAACTCAAAAGTCCTGGTTTGACCTGAAAACCCCTTGTATTTATTTACTTATTATTTATTTCAGGCACTTATATAGCGCCGTCACTTTACATATATATTGTACATTCACATCAGTCCCTAACCCTCAAGGAGTGTACAATCTAAGGTCCCTAACTCACATTCATTCATACACATACTAGGGACAATTTAGACAGGAGCCAATTAACCTACCAGCATGTCTTTGGAGTGTGGGAGGAAACGAGTACCTGGAGGAAACCCACGCACGCACAGGGAGAACATGCAAACTCCAGGCAGGTGGTGCCATGGTTGTGATTTGAACCAATGACCCTAGTACTGCCAGGCGGAAGTGCTAACCACTTAGTCACTGTGCTGCCCATTTAAAATTTTATTACAAAGTCTGCAAGATTCCGGCTGCGGTGGCCATGGCAGGTCACAGGTTACTGTTGTCACTGGGGGAGTCAATTCAGCTACTAAAATATCAGTTTTGAATTCACCACACAATTCAGTGTTCAACTTTGCCTTAGTTTTGGTTATACAATAGGTCCAACATCCATTTAACGTCTGTTAAATATTAGATGATGATGAATTCCCTATGTAGTTATCCAGTTAAAAATGTACTGTCCTTCTTGAAAATGGTATACTCTGTAAGCTCTTTAGCCATAAATAATGAGTGAGGATTCCCTCAGTGAGTGTCCACAGAAAGAAAGGGCCTTCACACTACTTCCTATAGACAATGGGTCAGGTCCAGAGAGAATAGACCTGTGAGAAAATGTCCACTCACAGCATGCTCATTAGGTTCAACAATGTAATACTGCATGCCTGGTAAAGGTATTGTTTATTGATCTCTGTATTGCTCAAGGGCATACTGTGCTCTTTTTATATCTGCTTCATGATGGAAGCACTTAAACCATCAGAATGCTGTTAGTAGATATGGACTATAAGTATATACCTGCCTGTAAAAATGTTATAACATTCAAGGCTAGCTTAATGATTATGATAGCCAAATGTATAATTTACAAGATACTAACTTAACCTAAGAGTACTATTACATTTTCCTGTCTTCCTTTGCATGTTTAGCAAGTCAAGCACACATAGTGGGGGATTCAATAAAACTGCTGTGTCAATTTACTGGTGTAAATCCCTCTTGTTAATGTATTGCGCCGAATTAATAAACCATTTGTGACACTTTTGGTTCTGACAGTGACTTATGAACAAATTCAGGTAGTTCTAAAATGCGACACCTTTACATTGTGGTGCAATAAATTCGCCAAGTTCAAAATAAAATACAAACAGTTCTAATCTTATGAAAGTGGAGCTAAGCAGGATTAACGTAGAGAGAGAGAAAACTGGCACAGACAGTTCTAGAGAGGTGCATGAATTTGGAGCACTCTGACACGTTCGCAAAATCTGTCTGCACCAGTCTTTATGAATTCCAGTGATAGAGTTTTAGCTATGTTAGTATGCTCCCAGTTTCAGCATAGCATCACCTGTGCTACACCCAAACTCTGTGTTGTTTCTGTTATTTGATTGTAGTCTCTATACCATACAGATCTGTACATTGAAATCTTTAACCTTCCTTGTATGCCTGGACATGGCCAATAAAGCTTACTCTGGTTTAGCCTATCTTAGATGTATTATTTAACTGCAGCATAGTTGGCTTTTTTTTTTTACCTCCTACAGTGGATATAAAAAGTCTACACACCCCTGTTAAAATGTCAGGTTTCTTTGATGTAAAAAAATGAGACAAAGATAAATAATTCCAGAACTTTTTTCCAC